AATCGTTGCGGTTACGATTTGAATAATATATCAACATAGTTCTGAAATCGATAAACTAGAACATGCATCTCATACATATCGCATCAACCAAAAATTTAACCCAAATTCAATCGTACAAGTAGCTATGATGCCACTGTTGGGATCGTCAGCGCACCCCATGGCGTAGCAGAAACAAACTCGACTGTCTCACCAGCGATCCAAGTACGAAAAACTAAAATTGGGAGGAAGGGATGCGAATACTTACAATGGGTCCCTTGAAAAACAACAAGGACAACAATGACTACTGGTGGTATAGATCTTTCGAATCGTAAGCCTCCACGAAAACACTTCTCGGCCTCTATCAGTTCACCCAATTGAGAGCAATTTTCTTCCCCCAAAGTGTTTTGAGAGAAAATGGCTGAAGGTTTTGTGTATATGTTCTAAACCGGCTGCTAGACCTAACACACCCTTTTATAGCTAAGTTACCCTAATCATATTAGGGTTTTATTATTTCAAATTAATTAAATCTATATTTAATTAATTGGAATTTAATAATCATTTTATATCCAAGTTACCCTAATCATATTATGGATTTATTATTCAAATTAATTAAATCTATATTTAATTAATTGAAATTAAATATTCGGGATTATTAAAAATATATTTATTAACTCTAGATATATTTTAGTAACATACAAAAAATTTACATCTTTGCTCGTTTCAATCCTAGGTGTGACCCTGTAGGTTCTTCTAACGTTAGCAGTAATTATTAGAATAATTCTAATATTACATACAATGAGTGACATCTAGTAATATATCATTGTCACCTAAGTTACAGGAAAATATGATTCGACATGTCATCTTGGTGATTAACTCTTTCATGTATTATATCCTTATGTCCTTTATATATAGAATTAGCACAAGTCTTAGAATAGTCACACTTGTATAGCCCATCTATTGTTTCTTGATATCTAGAATAGACTTTAATTAACGAATAGTTATGATATCTCATATCAAGTTATTCGAGCATGACCTGCGTTTCTAGTCTTACTCAACAAGTGGCTTGTGATATATTTCCTATTATGTATGAATGACAAATCCTATCTTACTCATACACACCCACTACATATATGAGATATATTCAAAACAGTCTTTATAGAGCAACCAGTTACGGACTTGTTTAGCTGCATCAAACATACACAATATATGTTGGGATATTGATTCTCAAGTCTGAGGATCATACATATAGTCATCACCATGAGCAATGTTATGATTGTCACATAATAATCCAAACATTGCTCATGGGGGTCAATCCAATACTTGTTCTCTAACAACAATAATCATGTATCAATTCTGACATCTCTATGTCAATGACAACTCGTTGTCATCAATCAATAACATGTTAGTCTTAAGTGTATTATTATTGTCCATGCCCATAATAATACTTGACTAGGGATCTTTTAATAATAACAATTATGTCATTATATGAACTTATATCTTCCAGTTTATGTTAAACACATATATACTGAAAATAATAGTGGCAATGCCTTTATTCAATAAAATGGTCTTGGGCATACTCTAACATGCTGGCCATCTCATCAATCGTCTGCCATCATCAGCGATGAGAGAAAAAAACTATTGGAGGTATAGTTTGGAAAACCTGCTACTGATTATGATTCCTTACATGTATTTAGATCTACTGCTTATTATCACGTGAAGGAATCTAAGATTGATCCGAGAGCAAAGAAGGTTTTCTTTATGGAAATCACCCATGGAGTGAAGGGATTCTACCTTTGGTGTTTAGACACCAAGAAGATGATTTATAGCAGAGATGTTACCTTTGATGAATCTGCCATAGTAAAAAAGGTAACAAATGAAGCTGTCCAGACAATTAGTACTCCGAAGTAGGTGGAGCATACTCCAAAACAGGTAAAGTTTCAGCAGACGATGATCCCAGAAGTTAATGCAGCTGATTCTTCAAATCGAATAGAAGAATCAGAAGATGTAGAGGTTCAAATGCAAGAACCATTGGAGACTCCAGAATCACTTGCAGTTACAAGGCTTGGGAGAGAAATTCGTAGACCTGCTCGATTTGTTGATATGGTGGCCTATGCTCTTCCAGTTGTTGTTGATGATATCTCTATCACTTACCAAGAATCAATACAAAGCTTGAAAAGTAATAAGTGGAAAAGTTTCATGGATGAATAAATGCAATCTCTCCAAAAGAACAACACTTGTAAATTTGTACAATTACAGAAAGGTAAAAGAGCAATTGGATGCAAGTGGGTAATTGCAAAGAAAGATGGATCTCATAGCAAGAAAGATGTTTGCTGCAAGGAAAGGTTGGTAGCTAAAGGCTACGCTCAAAAGGAGGAAATCGACTACAATGAATTATTTTCCCCTGTTGTGAAATATTCCTCCATTAGAATATTGTTGGCCTTAGTAGCACAGTTGAATTTGGAGCTAGCTCAACTTGATGGAAAGACGACTTTCATACATGGTGATTTAGAAGAGGAGATCTATATGACGCAGCCAGAAGGATACAAAGATGGTGGTTTGAGAAATATGTTGTAAGCTGAACAAATATCTATATGGATTGAAGCAATCTCTGAGGTAGTGGTACAAGTGATTTGATAGCTTTATGAGGAGACAAAAGTACACTATAAGAAAATATGATCATTATATGTATTTACAAAAGGTCAAAGATGGATCTTTCTTTTATCTTCTCTTGTACGTTGACGATATGTTGATCGCTTCGAAGATTCAAAAGGAGAGATATAAATCAAAGGCTCAGTTGAATCATCTTTGTTTAACTCAAAAGCAGTATCTGAGAAAGGTATTACAATGTTTTGGCATGAATGAAAATACCAAACATGTAAGTATCCCACTAGCTTCTTATTTAAAACTTAGTTCTCAGTTATCTCCTGAAACTAACGAAGAACGAGAGTATATGGCAAAAGTTCCATATACTAATGTAGTTGGGAGCTTGATGTATGCAATGTATATGCGTCCTGGCATTTCACAAGCATTGGAGTTGTGACCAGGTACATGCATGATCCTGGAAAAGGACATTGACAGGACATTGACAACCTGTGAAATGGATTCTACGGTATCTCCAACAAACTGTGGATGTTGGTTTAGTTTTTGAACAGATAAAGCACTTGGCCAGTGTGGTTGGATATGTTGATTCCGACTATGCTGGTGATTTGGATAAACGTCGACCAATACTGGGTATTGTTTACTCTTGCTAAGCCCCAGTAAGTTGAAAGTCTACTTTGCAATCTACGGTGGCTTTGTCTACTACAGAGGCAGAATACATGGTAGTTTTTAGAGGATGTGAAGGAAGCGATTTGGCTTAATGGGTTGATGGAAGACTTGGGAGTTGTTCAAAGTCACATTAGTCTCTATTGTGATAGTCATAACGCTATTCACTTAGCGAAAATCAAGTCTACCATTAAAGGACTAAGCATATCGATGTGAGGTATCACCTGTGTGGGAGATCTTGAAGAAGGAAAGATTCTACTTCAGAAAATTACAACAGCAAAAATCCTACAGATATGATAACCAAGGTGGTAACAGTAATCAAGTTCAATCATAGTTTGAACTTGATTAACATCCTGAAATTATGAACACCTTCGGGTGTGTCACGCTTGTGAGCACATTAGAGGCACAACATCAAATTTGGGGAGTTTAATTTGAACTTGATTAACATCCTGAAATTATGAACACCTTCGGGTGTGTCACGCTTGTGCACAATTAGAGGCAACATCAAATTTGGGGAGTTTAAGAAGTTGAGTAGGCTTGGTAACTTCAAGCCAAGGTGGAGATTTTGTTATGTTTAGCTTGAAATCAAATTTGGTAAGTGAAAAATTCATCTTGGTTGGTAGCTAACTTATTGGAAAATTCATCTTGGTTGGTGGCCAACTTATTGAAAAAATCATCTTTGGTAGGGTGACCAACTTTGCATATGAGAATTTCATATTTTATTTTAGTCCTTAAAACTCAACTATAAATAGGCCTAAGTATTTCATAGAAATCATCCCAAAAACAAGTTCTCTCTTCCTCTTTTTTCTTCATTCTCTCACTTTGGGAATTCTAAAGATTCCTTTGTTGTAATATTTGTTGATAGTGAAGTTCTCATCCGGTGTGGTGCCGAGGAGAAGACGATATTCTCGTCGAACCTCGTAAATTTGGTATGTCTCTCTATTATTTTTATTTAGTTTTCTATTGTGTTTCATATTCAATAGTTTGACGGGTTTATCTGCTGTGCAACCTTTGGTGGTTTTGATCTTGACATTTTAGGTCAATTTTGAAACTACGTTCGTGGGAAATAACCCGGTTTCCCCAACATCCTCCACTGGCACCACCCTTTAGTATATGGTCGGGACCCTCCTGCAGTTATCTCTATCCGTTCCTGGCAAAAACTCACATTTTAACCTTGAACATCGACTCCTTGAACGTGGTACTATGATGAATATTTTAAAAGACAACTCGTCAAAGCTTAAAATCAAAAGAACTGCAAGCTGATACTCATAGACGTCACATCTTTTAGATTGATGATTGTCTTCCTGCATTTACAACCTTACCGCCAGCAATCTCTAACACATTGAAAGTATGTCAAGCTATCTCTTCGTTCTTTGGGCGTTACAAAGTTGTCCAGTAAGTTGGACCAATTGCATATGAGCTTGAGTTACCCGAGACCACAAACGGCCATCCAATTTTCATGTTTCATTGTTGTGTCCTGCTCATGGACTACCAACACCTGCTGCTTCTGTACCTCTTCCCATCAATGCCGAATGAGAACTAATTCTCTTTCCGGAAAAAATACCATCTTCGTTGGGTTTTCTTGTATTGAAGTCTTGCTATCCATAAGGACTAAATTGGTTGAGTGTTTAAGATTCTTGCACTTAGTTTGTATGTAAAAACAACATTGAAAGGGCAAGGAAAGGAAAAAGTAAATAACTAAAACATATGGGATTTCAATCAGCAATATGCATAAGAAGAGATAAACGATAGAATACAATGAAAAATATCCATCATGTCCACGTAAGTACATTTGGCCACCATTCAGTATAACTTTGACATTTGAAATCCTACCGGACAAAGCAAACCCTTTTGTAGCAAAACTTACAAAACAAAGTCATCAGTTGACAGTTGCATCATTACAGAAACAGATAGAAAGGAAACATGTAGGCCATATCGTGTTATTCTAGAGACTAAACAATACCTCGATGGAGAAATATTTTATATTATATTTCGTTTAGATTTTTTTTCTTTTCAAGTCTTTCGAGTTTTTACGAGCATCAATTCATGATTTTGAGTCAAGTTCGATAATACTTACACCGTTAGCACTGCCAAGAAAGATAAACATTAATTTTAAAATGAACAACAATATGTTTGTACATTTTTCCATTTGTTTCTTTCAAAAAGAAATTCCTCAAGAATTTTCTCTAAAAAGATAGTATCCGCGCGGACGTGTCGAAGACACGTATTACCACGACCATGACCCCGAGCCGAGCCGTGCCGAGTCGAGCCGCGTCCAGGGTCCCTCTTGTTCTCTTTCACTTAACAAGAAAGTGGGAAATCAAAACCATAAATATCATTCCTAATAGTGTCCAATACTATGTGGATTGAGCATTACCAACATTCCCCACTAATATGAAAGAATTCTTCTAAAACTCGAAAATAAACTTTCCAGAAGAGCAATAGCGAGATTAGTTACTTAAGCACTAGTGAACGTATCTGGAACTAGTACATAGTGATGATGAGCAATCATCTCTTAGATATGTGAAACTAGTATGAAACTTTCTAAGATGTGGGTAAACTCAAAACATAACTAACCTCTTCATCCACCTAAGTCCTCGATGTGTAAGATATATATACAAAAGTATATATTGGCCATCTCACCTCATGATTCTAGTAAGTGTGCTAGAAAAATGACCCAACATTTTTCATAGAAGGTGGCTAACCCTTCTCACTTACATAGGTTATTTCATCAAGTTTATCTCGACATAAACCACCCTTTAAAATAGATATGAAATAATTAAGAGCTTTTATAATAGCTCAACCTCACAAAGGGTAGGGTGACTTCTTCAAGTTCATTATTAATGAACCACCCAAACTCTGGGCTAAGAAGTCATTAAGAATAAATATTCAACCACATTATCGGTAAATACAATAAGTTCTTCTCACTAGAACCATCCAAATACTTGGATTTAAATTTATTAAGAGTTTAACAAACTTACCCTTTCTGTCGGTAAGTTCATTATTTCCTTCTCACTTGGAAAACCCACTCACTCTGGGTTATGAACTTATTAAGAATAGATATTCAGCCAAAATCGGTAAATTCATTAAATCTTTCTCACTAAGACACCCAAAGCCTGGGCTATGAATTTATTAAGAGCACTTAAGCTCCTAGGCATGCACATTATTCATAGGGATAGGCAGTAGAAATGTGCACTATGAGTCTTTCCATGGTTTGTTTGACCACATGGAACTTAGATAACTAAGTTGGGTATCCACCATGAATTCCTCAACCAATGGGCTTGAGACCATCCCCCTCGACAAATCTAGGACCAGCTTCCGACTTAACCTTGGTAAGTGGATCTGCTAGGTTCCTTTCCGACTTCACATACTCTAAAGAGAGCACTTCATTCTTTATTAAGTGTCTAACTTATTCATGTCTTATGCGAATATGTCTTTTTACCATTGTAAGCTTGGTTCTTAGCCACACATATCGCAGCTTGTGAATCACACAACAATGAAACTGGAGGAGTCGGTCTTCCCTACAACAGAATATTTGCTAACAAGCTTCTGAGCTACTCGACTTCTTGCCAACTAGGTCAAGATCTATAAACTCTGACTGTATGGTAGAACAAGCAATACAAGTCTGCTTTGATGATTTCCACGAGATTGCTGCTCCACCCAAAGTAAAAACATACTCGCTCATAGAGCTTACCTCATCATTATCAGAAACCCAGTTGGCATCATAATATCCTTCCAGTACCACAAGAAAGCCAACGAACTCAAGTTTCTAATCCAAAGTACCCTTAAGATACTTCAGTAAGCGTTTAAGAGCAATCCAGTATTCATCACTCGGATTATGAGTATATCTACTCAGTCTACTCATAGCATAAGCAATATCAGGCCGAGTATAGTTCATTAAGAACATTAAGCTTCTAATTAATTTAGCATATTCGTTTGGGAAACGCTACTTCCTTTATTCTTAGCAAGATATATGCTAGGGTCATAAGGAGTTCGAACAGGGACGACATGTCAAATTTCTTTAGCACTTTCTCTATATAATGTGCTTGACTTAAAGAAAATCCCTTTTCACTTTTGGTAACTTTGACTCCTAAGATTACATCTACTTCTCCCAAATTTGTCATCTCAAACTTTGTGGACAAAAACTCTTAACTTTGTTAATGGACTCAATTAGAACTGAAAATCAACATGTCATCAACATACAAGCTATGATGACACATTCAGTGCCAAACATCTTCGAATACACACAAGCATCCGAACCATTCACAAAAAACCAAAACTAAGAATAGTTTTATGAAATTTCCATACCACTGTTTAGGAGCCTGCTTAAGTCCATAAAGTGTCTTTTTAAGTCTACAGACTTTGCCTTCATACCAGGTGCTTCAAAACCTAGTGGTTGCTCCATGTAAATCTTCTCATCCAGATCCTCATTCAAGAAAGTAGTCTTAACATCCATTTAATGTACCTGCAACTCATTAATAGAGGCTAGCAAAAATAATGCATGAATCGTTGAGATTTTCATAACGGGAGAGTATGTATCAAAGTAGTCTAAACCAAACCTTTGAGTGAACCCTTTGACGACTAACCTTACCTTGTACCGCTGAATCAAACCATCTGACCTCAGTTTCTTCCGGAAGACCCATTTATTGCAGATTGGTTTGAATCCCTTAGGCAAGTCAACTAATTCCCAAGTATGATTAGACATTATCGATTCTAGTTCATCATTAATAGCGCTTTTCTAGAAACTAGCATTGATAGATCTTATAGCTTCTTCAAAAGTTTTAGGATCCTCATCTAACAGAACAATTTGAGCTATAGGATCTGAAATGGACTCTAAATCATTTATCTTAAAAATAAAGGAAGTAATAAAGTATGGTCCAAAAGAGGTTTCAACTCTTTGCCTTTTACTTCTTCTAGGCTCGAAATCATTTTGTTGAGAAGACCTAGCAGGAATACTAGAAGAAGTGGATGGAATATATTCTATTTGTGTTTCGACATTTATTCTCGGTTCCTTTAAAGGAAAAGTATTTTCAAAGAAAACAACATCTCTTGACTCACAAAAATAATAATCTTGCAAAAGCATGAATCTATATGCAACACTATTTATAGCATACCCTATAAAACCTGCATCAACGGTTTTAGGTCCGATGGTGGACTTCTTAAAGTCTGGTAAACCCACTTTGGCCAGACACCCCCACACTTTTAGGTATTGTAAATTAGAAGCGTATCCTTTCCACAATTTATATGGGGTAGAATCTAATTTCTTATGAGGAACTCGATTCAAGATATGAGTTACCGATAGAATGGCTTCCCCCCACATGTTATTAGATAACCCTGAACTTATTAGTAAATAATTCATCATCTTTTTTAAAGTTCTATTTTCCCTTTTGACTATACCATTCTATTGAGGAAAATAAGGGGCTGAAGTTTCATGAATTATGCCATTCTTTTCACAAATATCTTTTAAGAAATTAGATCCATATTCACCACATCTATCAGATCTAACCCGTTTGATTCTCTATCTAACTGATTTTCAACTTCTACCTTATAAATAAGAAAGAAGTTTTCAGCTTCATCTTTAGTCCTTAGGAGATAAACTTTTGTATATCTTGAGCAATCATCTACAAAAGCTATGTAGTAGTGTTTTCCTCTTTTACTTTCAGTGTTTCTAAATATGCTAGATCAGTATCAATGAGTTCTAACAGCTCAATCTTTATATTAGAAACAGTCTTAAAGTGAGATCTAGTATGCTTAGCTTCTACACAAATTTCACATTTGTTAAAGCTAGTTGTATCTAGTTTAGGCAGAACATTCATATTTATCAATTTCTTTAAAAACATGAATATTCACGTGTCCTAATCTAGCATGCCACATATAAATGGATTCAACAATATAAGAAGAAGTGGTAGCTTTATTTTCATTAAATTGAGTTTCTATGACAAATAAACCATTGCTTAAAAACCCTTTTCCCAACATAATCACCATTTCGGGAAAGTACAAGTTTATCTGCCTCAAAAACTAACTTAATGCTGCCTTATTCAGAAGCCTACCACTTATCAAATTTTTACGCAAGGCAGGTACATACATAACATATTTAAAGCCAGAGTTTTACCAGAGGTCAGCTTGAGTAAAATCTTGCCTTTGCCTATCACTTCAGAGCTGCTAGAGTTCCCCATGTACACATGTTCACCTACGTTCCTATCCTCGAATTCGGTGAAAAACTCATTCCTTGCATAGAAATGCTTTAAAGTGCTAGTGTCAACAACCCATTCAGAACAGTTTTCCACTAGATTGACTTCTGAGACCACCGCATCAATGATTTAATCATCTTCTTCTACAACGTGCATCTGTGGCTTGTTTTCATTCTGGCGGTCTGAGAAGTGTTGGCATTGGTAAGCTTTGTGTCCGGGTAAACTGCAGACATAACACTTGAGCCTTTTTCCTTCAGGTTTTGCCTTTCCTGACTTCTTGAAGTTAGTAGCCTTCTAGGATTTTATTTTCTTGTCTTGATTCCCACGTTTCATGATCTTCTTGAATTTAGACTCAACCAAGTTAGCTCTAAAAGATAAATTACTCATAGAATTAGTAAGTTTATTTTTCAAACGGTTGGCTTATTCAATCTTCATATGGCCCACGAGCTCTTCAAGCAAAATTTCTCTCTTCTTTTGCTTAAGAGAGTTAAGGTAGTCAGACCAGGACTTGGGCAGCTTCCCAATGAGAACATTTGCATACAATACCTCATATATTTGCATGCCTTTGGCGATGATATCGGCGACTAAGTTCTCATAGTCATGGACTTGATCCATTATCGGTTTGTCGCCTGTCATCTGGAATTTGAGCCATTCGTCGACAACGTACTTCTTGATGCCCGCATCGTCCGCACCATACTTTTTCTCGAGAGTGTCCCATATTGCCTTGGCACTCATTTCTCTAAGAAACATATCAAACAGTTTATTTGACATGTGAATGAGCAGATGTCCTCGCACCATTTTGTTGTCTTTCTCATATTTCTTGTAGGTAGCGAGAGCGGCGGTGACAGTTGCTAAGGCATCATCATTCAGAACCACATCCATGTCATTACCGACAACTGGGGTTGGCGGCATGGTAGATGGTGGCTTGAGTAGCACGAAGTCAAGATCAAGTTGCTCGAAGAATATCAAGATTCTTTGGGACCACCTTCTATAATTCTTTCCATCAATTGCATCGAGCTTGGAAAGATCGGGAATAAGTTTGCTCAAAGGTGTTGACATGATTGTAGTATATAGAATTCGTTTCTAAATTGTTGTAAATATGAAACTGCAAAACCACACCGTTAGAAGTGACATGAAAGATAAACAGTAATTTAAAAGGAACAGATACGTAAACCATGTCGTGGTAAAACCACTGCCTTAGAAACAAATTCTCCACGATGTGTGTAATCGCTACAGTAGGCGGACCGTCCCCCGAGGTTAATACGGTCGCTCCGAATTTTGTACACCCGAAACCGGAGTGGACTGCTGGTGGTATTGCTCTTCTTATCGAAAAGCACACAGAGATAATATCTAGAAAACACTTGGAGAGTGAATTTTGAAATGTTGAGAGTGAGTTGAGAAGCTGAATTCAGCTCTATATTTATAGGCTAGAAATAGGATTAAAATCGTCCATAAAAAATCAGGATTAAAATCATTCTTTTGTAACAACTGAAACATTTATATGAACCTGACTTAAAAATAGTCAAGGTTCATTGTATCATCTGAACTCCTGATATTAACAGCTTGTCCCATTTGTACAAAGATAGAAATCAATCCAGATATATCTTAACGTTTTTTTAAATTAGGAAAAAAACGTTTTTGTTTAATTAGGAAAAAACTGTTTAATTTTTGGTAACTCATAAACCAACTGTTATCATTTGAATTTAAACAGTCCTCAGCAGCCTATAAATATCAGTTGAAATCTTTCACATTTTTCCATTTGTTTCTTTCAAAAAGAAATTTCTCAAGAATTTTCTCTAAAAAGATTGTATCAGTGCATACGTGTCGAAGACACGTATTACCACGACCACGACCACGACCACGAGCCGAGACGAGACGGACGGTGGCGGCGGCGGTGCACGAGAGTCCCCCTTGTTCTCTTTCACTCAACAAGGAAGTGGGAAATCCAAACCATAAATACCCAATCCCAATAATGTTTCCAATACTATGTGGGATTGAGCATTACCAACAATACTCGAACTCGACTTGACTCATTTACAACCCTAATTAGTTCATGAGTTGGGCTTTTTATGTTTAAATGATTTTTTTGGTAAAAAAAGATAATTATTACCATGTGTATCTTAGAAACCTTCCTACACCTAGGGCTGTAAATGAGACGAGACAGATCGCGAGCTACTCGAGATCGACTCGATCAAGGCTCGATAAATACTCAGATCGAATGGACTCGACTTGCGCTCGACTCGAGTTCTTAACGAGCCGAAACGAACTACTCGATATTCGACTCGAAAAGCTCGTGAGCTACTCGAAAAAATATTATATTATAATTTTAGATTTTTTAAAATTACTTTATTAAAAATATATTTAAAATACATTATTGATAATTATTAAAGTTTAAAAATATATAAAAAATTCTATAATACAACTACCCTCAAATTTTAATTTTTTTTAATTAACCAGCCCAAGTCCAATTGTTACATTGTATATTACTAAAAGAAAAATAAAAGTCCATTTAATTAAGTACATGTTAAATTACACGTGTTTGGTTGATTTTTTTTCTTTTTTTAACTTTTTACTGCACAAGTACTTGACAACGTGGAAAAATAAAATAAAAAATAAGAAAAAACAGCCAAACAATAGAAAAATTGAAAATGGTTAAAAAATATTTTTGAATAAATATTCTTATATTTATTTTAAATTAATAAAAAAATATTTATTTAATGACAAATATTTAATATATTTCTAAATAATATTTTAATAACTATTTTTTTAAATTGTTGTTATATTTTAAGGTTTGGGGTTCAAATATCATAAATATCAAGGGTTTGAGCATTTAATATCAAGATACTATATTGTACTTACCTCATAAATCATTACCAAGTCGATTAATTAATGTATTTGTAATGAAACCTAAACCCTAATCCCTAAACCTTAATCCCTAAGTCTTAAACCCTAAACCCAATTATGTGATAGGGGTTAAGTTATGCACATGAAGGTAACATACAAATTATGTAAAATGATGTTATGTGACTCCTAAATAAATCATTTGCATACTTATATAAACATATCAATATGCAAAATAAATATACACAACTTGCTGATTGAGACATGATTTTATCATATCTTAATGATGACTATCGACACTGTTATTGCTTTCAATCACTAACTCACCAACATAATATTTCTAGAACTGACTCGACGACATAATGTAAACCGATTAAATAATTTTTTATTCATGCTCATTTTTAGAGTATTTTAGTTTAAAACATTTATTTTGGCGAAAAGAACCATATTTTATAGCATTGAAGGTTTGTTGGCTAATCGTTTTCATCAAATGAATTGACACTTTTGTCTCAAAATGAAATATTAGGATAAAAAATTTAATTTTTTAACTAAATTAACTATTTAGTTAAATGATAAAGATATTTTTTTATCACTATACATTTTAATCATCATAAGTCATAGGTGAGATTTAAGCTTAAAATTAATTCAATTCATTAATCAGTTTCGAATTGAAATAACTTTTAACAAATATTATTATTATTTTTTAATCGTTCATTAATTAAACATTTCAATGTTTGATCATATTTTATCATACCCTAGTCAACATGTTAATATCAATATCATACAATCACCAATTTTTTTAATGAAAAATGATGAGTTTGAATCATATGAATAGTCGAGTGATCATTTTATAACTTTTAATGGTTGAAGGACTCAACAACATAACATCCTATAGTCATTGGACTATTTTATAACTTTTAATAGCCATGAGACTATTTTATAACTTTTAATAGCCATGAGACTATTTATGTACTTTACCCTATTATTTTCATATGATCTTTATTTTCAATGACTTGATAAAAATAAATTTAAAAATATTATATGGAATTAATAATCAACCGATATGAAGATTAAAAAAATGTTAATATATTTAATGTGAAATTAATATATTTAGATGGGAAAAATTTTAAAAATATTATATAAATAATTGATAAAATAATATTCTAATTCTGAACCACGATCAACATGCAGTTTTCTTGGATCTAAATTTTCCTTCGTTCAGCAATGAAACTATCTACTATTAATCGAAACCCGTCGTTGTTCATCTCATCCAGCGATTTCCTCGGCGATTCAGTAGTTGAAACCATCAGTTCTCTGCCCATCATTGCCATCTCTGATCTTTTGAACTGCCGGCGGGGACGTCAGTTTCCAGATTCTGAGAGCATCGATCGTGTTATTTCGTACTCTTTTCGATTGACTTTTTCAATTGAAGTTATTACAGGCTTTGGCTTTGTCACTGTTAGTGCTAGGCTCATCGTCGAAGATTGTTGTTGTTGTTGTTGTTGTCGTTTACGTGGTGAAAGGGAACATTTTGTCTCTACAACAGCAACCGCATTTTCCACTAGGACGATTTGCTTCTCCACCGTGGTCTCCTTCGCGCCGTTGGTAACAGCAACCGCATTTTCTGCCACGACAATTTATCTGTCCACTGTGGTGTCATCAACGACTGCGGATGCGGGCATAATACTCTGGCGAGAGTTGACATACTCTTCGTAGATATCAGATTATTTCTGGGTCTGTTTTTGGCTAGACAGAAGACAAACGATGAGGATGATGATGTTTAAAATAATGAAGACCGGAAGAGGCTCATTAAGAGTGTTGTCAAAACGCATGCGAAGATATCCTGTGACCCGGACGATGTCGGGAATCAAAGTGGGGAACCAAGACCATGATGTAAAAAGAAACACCAACAAAAACCCGATAAATTGAAGACCAGACCTTAGCTTATTCTCCATGTTGTATCTCCATAGAGCATCCTCTTTCTCTGCCTTAACATTGTCAAATTCGAAGGAATCCATTTTTTGTTTAGCGAGACACTTACGAGGGTAAATGTAGGAGAAGGTTTAAGGGTTGCTTTCAAAACGGTGGGTACTTGATGATTCGGTGCTTTGGAATACGAATGATTTGAACAGATCTGATGATGCTAGCGATAGATGATGCTGAAGGTGGCAAATAAGATGGAGGAGATGCAGCATACGGGAAGTCTATGACAAACCTTTCCCTCTCTTCGTCAGGATCTATTACTCAAGTCTTGTGTGCATGTTCAGTACTTCAGATGGTTTGAGTTGATATCCCACATCGGTGGTTCTTGGGGAATAAGGGGTAAAGTGAGTGTACAAAAGGGGATGGATTTTCAGCAAATAAAACTTAACCCGTTGAGATTGAATCGAGCTCAAAATCGAGCTTCAATCGAGCTCAAATCTCAAGCTTCAATCGAGCTCTTGATTTTTTTGAGTTCGAGCCTTTTGGAGTTCGAGTCGAGCATGAAAATTTTAGGCTCGCGAGTTTTCGAGTCGAGTCGAGCCTACATTTAAAGTTTTCGAGCTCGGCTCGTTTACACCCCTACCTACACCTAGTTAGAGGAAAAGAGTATACATGTTAATAACACAAAAACAACAATACTAATCAAAACAAAATATTATTGTTTAAATGATTATTTAAAATAGTAATTAAAAATAAAAATTATATTTATAAAATATTAAAATATTAAAAAAATTAAAATTAAAATATTTATATTATATAATATTAAGTATCTAGCTGAGTTAGTATCATGA